AATTTCCTTCTAAACACAAAGTCACACAATCAATACTGTTTACTTGTGATTATATAAAAATCTTCTACAAAAAATACCATTCTCAAATATTACAAAAAGCTAGTTCATGCCCACAATAAAGCCATGACAGTGCACAAATAACATGGTTAACTGGGGAAATATTGTTAGCTTCCAACCACACATTTGCACTACGGGTCAAATTGTTAAACACAATTCAGGTTACGGTGAAACAAAAAACTTTTTCCCCATAAGGATTCGCATTAAACTACGGCGGTTTGTAGACACTGAATGAGAGTTTACATCTCCAGTTTGACTTTAAAAGAAGGTCAGTGACTTCCTTACTTCTCGTCTAACCCTTGCTAGAGTTACCAAGGACAATTTAAGCACAGATTTGTCAACACATGCATTGACAAGTTAGAGAGTCTACTTTTCTGGCAGGATAAAAGCCAACACATTTGAAACAGTCGTAAGTTAATGAAATAGGTCCGACACTGGTAAGTAAGAAGAAGTACACAAATTCCGTTGATTTGAGACATGACATCATGACAGCACCCTCTTCAGTGCATCCACAAAAGAGATACATGACAGCAGCAGCACTGTTATGCAGTAAGTAATGCACTGAACAGTTGAGTGGTTATGCAGAACACCAAAATATTGGTCAGCCCTGCCCCTTTAACAGGTCCACCTTGAACTACCCGTCTGGCTGTATCGATTCTGGCCAACGGGGAAGTAAACTCTCTTGTGCTGGCCGGCAAACACAACGGCTGTCTGCGCGCACTCTGCGGCAGCACAATGCACTTAGAAAAACTCACAATACCCAAGGGGGCTTAGTGCGATTATCGATTTACCCACCCCACCCACACAGCACAGACCCCCCAGACAATGCATATAATGCCCAACCCTTGACAGTCCCTGTAATGTAGAAACCATCCCTTAAACGAAGTAGTGGAATCATTGACGTCATTAAACACATGCGGTACAATGAGGCATTTCTGAATAGCCCCCCTTTCAAAGCCCCGATGTAACTCTATCATATTTTGCTGTCAGGGGTATTTCTTCCCATTTTGTCTCTTTGTGCTAAAGACTGAAAGGCCCTCAAGTTGTAAACATCTCGCACTGAATCGCTGACACAAGAAAATACTCTCTGTTGATCATCCTTCCAGACTAGGTAAAGATGATACATCCGTGGCGCAAGATATACTTATTGTGACGATTGAATCCTGGGTAAATCAATACTACATGTTAGTGTCTGCTACTTGTTTTCCAGAAATACAACAATTTGTATAGCAGAACACTTTGGACAAAGTGAAACATTAAAAAACTTGGGTTGTAAAGTAAAAACAAAAGAAAAAACAGCAAAGCTGTTTTCTTCTAAAATCATTAAAACTCATTTGGAAGAGGAGGGATAAATGTGATTGTCCTTTACAATTTGAAAAAAGGCACAGTAAAACTCAAATCTTATATACAATAACAGTAAAATGACAATTATATTTTATGTTAAGTTTTTAAAAGTTCATATTTAAGTTAAATTTGGCTGCTTTTTGCGACCTAGAGTTAGACACATGTACACATGTACACATTTGCTTCAGAAACCTACTTTCCTCTAAATATGGCTGTAAGTGTTGGCAAACTCAGCCAAGAGGCACCCAAGAATATATATCTTTCACATGTCACAAGTTTTTCTCAATGTCTTCCATAATTAGTAAAAGTGGGGTCAGGTTCTAAGTTATATGTTATCTCCAATTACTTCTAACTACCTGATTATTAGATCTGGTCTGAAGTATCGGGAATCCCTGGAAGATGGATTTAATATGTACGAATGTGAGACGGTTTTATTTAACTGACAAGCCTGCAGAAATTATGGCACTCTACATCTAGCGGGAAGTTTTAGCAATTAATTTTAAGAGTCATGTCTTTGAGACTTACAAGACTCATTTGCTTAGTGTTTTGTGTCTGTTTGTCATCTTTTAAGTAAATGATTAAAAACTTCTGTATGAATCGATACCTTAATACCTAAAACTATGTCAGCGAAATGTGAACTACTAGCAAAAGTAGAGATTTCACATAAACATTACTGTAACTAATACAGTCATTTGCAAGAGTTTAGGACCATCCATACCAAATGCATTCACCTGAAGAAAAACCAAACTTCAACCAATCATTCATGGCAACTTATACTTATTTTCAATGTGTAACCTTTTAAAAGAGGTTAAACAGTTATTTGACTACATTCCATAATTTCAGACTAATATTTAGTGTGCCCTCCTTTATTTCTGATGACTTAGACTGGCTTTTTTACCCATGCTGCCTTACAAACAAAATGTCATACAAGACCTGCCTTTGCAAAACATTTCATTCGAATGGGTATATAACACTACAGCGATGCTATGCACCATTGTCAAATACGTTAAGTATTCCATGAGACAGTGTAATGCAGGCCCAGTGACAAGAATACAATAGCACTCCAGGTGGTCTTCAACTTTTGCAAATGACTGTAGCTTTGGGATCGGTCCTACCATAGTATTACTTTAAAATTTCATGTATATTAAAAGCAGGTGTAAAAATGCAGTTATGCCTGACTGGGCCAAAAAGTCTTTCATAGGGGAGTGTGAACAGAAAACATATTAAAAAGACACTGGTACACTGAATGCTTCATGTAGACACGTATGTTTCCACAAAAAATATAACACACTTGTACTTGTGCAATGAATGAAAATTGTATTATAGAAAGCATATGAAACTTGCACTAATGGCACTCACAGATTTTTTGTTTTGCACTTGAAATTTGGTTTTTGCATATACGGTTGCTTACGATAAGGCACTACCCGTTGTCTGTGTCTCTCCTTCAAACTGTGTCTGTCGCATGAATAGACATCTGCCACTGCAGGGAAAGTCTGGTGAGGGGCAATAGTCCCAACGCACTGTCCGGATACCAGACGCTGCAGTGACCACTTCTACCTTCTTGAGGCCGGGCTTTGCAGCACTAATGGAAGTGACGGTCAATGTTGCTGGTTCCCCCAACATACTGTCGTCTCAAATTGACAGGGTCTTTTAGGGTTTTTTTTGGGTTGCTTTCTTTTGTTCAGGCAGGGTAATGACACTGATGATAGGGGTCTCTGCTACTCTGTCAAACATCAACAGTCTTGGAGGATGGGTGCAGACCAAGGGCTCGGCTCTCGGCCTCCGTAAGACCTGTCCCGCCTTTAAGTGTCCGCCGCACTGTATTGACAAACAAGGGTAAAAGTAACAGCTGCATTGACTTCACTTGGTGAAAGATGTGAAAAACCACTCACACGCTGGGTTTCAGAGAAATGAATGGAAAATTAGCAAACTACCTTCCCAACAACCCCAAACAATGCAACACACGAAAGTGCCACTTACTAACCACGTGCATGAATCAATATCCGATTAATCTACCACATCTACACTAATAGATCACTCTCATTGGGCACCATCTTTTTAGGAAAGCTGCAACTGTGTGGACAATACCAACAGGTGCATGCACTGTGCAAAATATTCTACACTTGCTTGTGTGCTGATCTGTTCATATTATGGCGCAGCCGATGCATGTTATAAAAATTGACGTTAAAAAATGCCGATGCTCGTGGCAATCTGTAGGAAGTGACATCATCTGAGAGACCTACATGTATATGATGTAGACAGTATTACCAGAGAGGCTACTGATTCTGATAATGGAAAGGAACAATTTGAATATACCTGCATGGGCCCTTCACACAGCAGGATTCATAAAAAAGGCCATTGGAAGGCATTGATAACTTTTTTCCAAAATAAAGTTTTCCTCTCTAATAAAGGTATATCAATTTGCGTTTTGAAAACTACTTTTCCAAGTTAAACTGACACTAAATAATGTCAAATATCATACTTAAAAGGCAAGTCTTGGAACAGATTTGTAAGAAATGCATCAGCAGTATTGCCACATATAACAATGGCAAGAAAAAGTCTCCTTCACAATATTGTTAGACGTCAGGTTTCGTTCATGTTTTTGTAAGTCTTACAAGCAACTGAGAAAAAATAGGGTTCTTTGCAGCTGAGGGTGAGAAAAACGGATACAAATCCACTTGGGTTCAATCCAATGGCTGCAACAATACAATGGCCATTCTTTATCCTGTATTTGAATTCTTCAGGTTTGTTGCTACAGGGGGGGCTTAGACACCGTGCATAATGCATAATATTCAAACATGAGACAGGACAAACAAACTGAGAAATGGCAAGGGATAGCTTAAATCAACTCGTCTCCCTCCGAGAGAAATCTGCTTCATAGGACACTCAGTCACTGGCCACACAGTCACTTCTCTTGCCATCTTCTTGGAATTCAAGTATCTGAGTACAAAAGGGACTCCATTCCCATGTCAAAGTACAATGTGTGGACTTTTTGTGTACAAAAGGAACAAGTCTAAGTTGTCAGTCGACGATTTGTTTACAATATACACGGGGCACGTCCTTCCCTTTTTAGAGTATGCCGTGCCTCTTTGGAATGCTGGAGTAACTGTTTCTGAAACTATGTTGGGGAGAGTGCAGAAAAGAGCTCTTGGAACTATCTTAGGTTCTGATTGTTTGTGTTGTGATCATGCCCTTCAACAGGTTTATTTGACCAACCTTCAACAATGATGGGAAATACTCTGCCTTCAATTTGCAATGAACATGTACACATCCCATGTGTTCTCTGAATGGCTACCTCAGAAAGTTAAACACAAAGTGCAACGTTCTCTCAGAAATTTGAATTGTCTCTCTTCAATCAAATGCAGAACGGATAGATATACAAATAATGCAATCCCATATTTTATCAAGCTTTTCAATGATTTGTAAGGAATTTTTATTATTTTTACAATTGGTTGCTGGCTTTGATGTTTTAGAGTTTCCATGGGGCTTTCATTGTATGAGGATTTTTTTTTTGTAATTTAATGTTTGTTGAATAACCCGTAAGTTAGTGAGGTTAAATGGTGTATTTGAATGTTGTAGAAGCTTAATGCATTTTGCTGAACATTTTGCTGAACATTTTCATACTTTGAACCACCTTAAATGTTTTGTAAAATTGTGCAGTTTTATAATTGACTTTTATAATAATCATTATTTGATTTGATGTAAATTTTGCTCCAATTGAACCCATGGCTACAATGCAATCTTAAATGAACCATGAACTGAATTGGTACTAGATGAAATGAGTTCATGGCTCTTAGCATCTGGGACCGTAGACCTACATGTACGTTAGATTACAATAGTGCTAACTTGTCACTCCCTGCAAAGAGAAACTGTGATGCATCCTGGGTACAGACATTTTGAATTGAAGTGTGTATTTATGGAACATATTGAAATGAGATGGATCAAGTACAATACAGGCAATAGACTGTATTCATGTGTCGGCCACCTTGAATTGAAAGTAGGATTAAGTTTTCATATTTGGAACATTAAGAGCGAAAATAACAGCAAAAAAATATAAGGTCATGACAAAGTAATTTTGAATAATTTGAATTTGTGATACATTATACCTAAATGTTTAAGCCACATTAAAAAGAACTCACAGTGAAGTTTGGAACCCAAAATAGTCTGGCACCACCCCATTTACCACATTACAAGGCTTAATATGATAAATTCAGTGAACACGATCAATTATTGCTTTCCCATGAATACGGTCTATTAACATAAAGTACTTTTTATCATTACTATGGTACATTAAAAAGCTTCAGCTACAAGTACATTCACCTGAAGGGCCACGTGAACATGTTTGAGTTGCTTACACTGAGCAAAACAAAACACTCACTTCTGATTGCGCATTACAGCACAGAGGCAGCTATGCCAACAGCTGTCCAAATTCAATGTTTTCACATACCGGTAGGTTTGTGCACAAACTTGGATGCATGCATGGCAGCAGGCTTCACTAAGCATGGTGAGTGTGCACTCCAGTGATTTCATACAGCTCAATACAGAAGACTGAGCAAACTGGTGCAGTGCTACTCACGTGATTTGCGATTTGTCCTTCCGCGCTTCCTCTCCCTTGGCGTGTTGCGTGTCTTGGTGTTCTTGGCCGTGTTGACCAGGATCTGTAGCATTTCGTCTGTCTGTTCATCACCGACGTCTTCCATGTTGGACGTGCTGGCACTCATGGCTGTGGACAAGGCACGAAGCAGTGAGACTTGTTATCTTGATAAAGCTTTCCGAAGCACGAGGGCAAACCACAGTTAGATTAAATAGATTTAGCTCTCAAGTTGAGGATGATAAGACATTAGCTATCTGGTAGGTTGGCTGGACTTATGCTTATAAAAGAAATCAGTATGAGGTGTTGAATTTGACAGAAATGCATGAATATTTCTGCAAATCTCAGGAGAGCTTCTTAAATGAAAAAAGGCTTTTGTTGGAGCAGGCCTACAGCTTTCAACACTACAATTACAGCTCCCGTGCCTCCAAAACAAAAGTAATTCAATTCATTACAAATAATCAGCAGGCTTGCATGTAAAACAAAAATAGCATTCTTTTTATTGTTTTCTCTTCCTCAATTTCCATTTGCAGCGTTGTGGTCAAGACGTCTTAATAGGCCATCACACGGCCAACACCAGACCTCCAGAAAAGCATCCCTTTGTCACCAGTCACTCTGTGACTTGAGCCTGGTCTTTTGTCTGGTCTTCTGATGGTCTCGACTACATCATTGTTAATTTGAACAAAACATGTACATATGTACATAACTGTGGACAAAAAGCACAACAAATAATGCATTCAACTCCTAAAGAGTATTTTAAGCCAGCAGACTGTCTTTTATCAATGGGCAATTTGTTTCTTTTTAATTACATGTAGATGCATTTGTAAACACTGAGGCCCAAGAACTCATCAGTGGCAAAATGATAAGTCATGAAAGACTGGTGGGGATTAGGTTTTTGCTATTTGTCAGCAAATTAATGATTTTCATCCCCTTTTTTATCCCGGGGGTCTCTCCTTTTTTTTTTTTTAGAATTGTTTTCAGGAAAGGGAAAGTACTCTGCCCAGCATTCCTCCATCATGATACCCATGTTTGCAAAGACGTCTATGCTCTGTAAATCTGCCAAATTTGAGATCAATCAGATTTTTGCTTTCGACGCAAAACAACGTTCATGACAACTTCCATCAGCAGACTCTCTCTGATGGCATGGCCGTTTCTGGGTAGACACTAAGCCCTGGCTGAGGAATCTGTTCCTGTGTTTTGCCGGCAGTTATGGCAGGGCAAGTAAATGCTGGGCCCTGTTTCTCCAGTGTCTTAAGATTAGGAAATTGCTCTTGTCAAGTGTCATATTAGTTTGCGCACTTCATCACGAGCCATCCTCTTTAGTGTGCCTCAGGGGAATTACTGAGTGCTATAACCACTCTAAAATGGCAAAACTGGCCAGTGCTTCTATGCACACCTACAGCAAGGGACCTAAATTTTCCAAATGTGGGTTCATTCTGGTCAAGTAGGGTGTGAGAATGTTAACACGTAAGACGTCACATGATTTGTTAAAACTCATGTACCTTTGGGTGAGAAGTCAATTTTGAGTTATTACGGTATCAGCAAAATACATATCTATCTTGTCATTTCAAAATGCCACTTTTTAACATTGGATTTTCCAAAGAGAAGCTCTTTAATTTAGAAATCTGACTGTTGGACATGTAAAGATGAGAAGCAGGTCTTTAAAGTTAGAATTTCGAGAAACAAAAATATTTTGTGGATGACGTTTCAGTTTAAAACTTTTACAGGACAAAGTGCGTATCAGTTGCATTGCAAAAGTCAAAAGATGTCAAAATCAATGAAAATTCCCCAGTCATTTTCCAGCTGTGTCCCCATTTGCAGCTGTGCCAACTCCACCGGGCTCAGCATACCACGTCAAAACTGATAAAATGCTAAGAACGTGTATTCTGAAGCTGTGAAACAAAAAAGTGGTTCCAGCAACCTTTTTACTTTAATTTGGGAGAAGAAAATCAACGAGGTCAGAGGGTTTCATCTAGGATTGCAATATCTGCCTGTCTCTTCCCAGACCAAGGTCAAAAAACTGCCTTACCCTCTCCAAGAAAGATCTTTGAAACTTGACACGTAATCTTGATGCAATCGTAGGCCATATTTCAACTGCATCCAGTATTTTGCAAAGAAATGTGAGGACCCATTTGCCAAGAAATGGGGGCCTTGTAAATTTTGAACAAGCAAAAACTACCTGCACAGATCTGTTTACTGCCTGTCCTCGGGACAGGTGAGCAGGCGAGTCACAGTGACCAACCTCGAAGTTTGTTCTGTTGCCTGTATCCCAAGTCCAGACAGTAGTTGTCAGACTAGTGACAGCCCACCCTGTATTGTCCAGTTTAGAACCGTTAAGCTTCGGAGTGCTACTTCGTTTCTAATTCAGAACTGGGAATGTCAAACCCAGAGACATGAAGGAGTTCATCTTGTCAAACATGCACACTGTTAAAGCTGTTGCAGGGACAACATACGTGAACATGCATGACATGTCCTATGGGGACTGAAAACACACCAGATTGTATTGGTACACCGGCCCTCTCCTCTCCTCTAGCTCAGTTGGAAGAGCAGGGGCGAAACAACTTCTCGTGCTGTTTAGAAATTCACAATGTATTCTGTCCACCATTTGTGCGGATATACAGACAAGTTTCAAATTAGTAGGTGATCAAACGGAGCCCAAAACTCTAAACAACCTTAGTAATTAAAGAGGACATAGCATACTTGGTTAAACTTCTCCATGCTTGGCACACAGTGCACCAATTAGCAACTTCACTTAAAGTGAACTGAACACATGCATGTCCAGCAATACCCTTGCTTGAAGTACATGTAGGGGAAGACTCTTCACTGACTCACGCCTTGTGAAACTCCTGTACGCTCTCAAAACTACATGTACATTCAGTGAGGATCAATGCATTCTCTCAATGTTGCCCCAATGTGAAAAGAACTAGTACAGTGGCACCTTCAAGGCCTTTAAAAATCCCTTGCACTTTCCACTTGTGGAAAGTGAAAACAAGGTTTCAGTTTTCTTAATTTAAAGAAAGAAACCAAAATGATAATATTTCTTCTTCTTTTTTTTGCTCAACCAGAATTTCTCCGGGTGTCCTGCTTTGAATGTGTACAAGTAAGGTTCTGATTTTTTAAAATTGAATTTGTAGAAATCTCATAAAAAATGAACAAACCACGAGCAGACAGATTTTGTCTAAGCTACTTATCCATCTCCTCAACTCCTCATGCACAGCTTATGGTTTTATAGCAGGCAGGGCATAGAAAAATCGCCCAGTACCCACTGCAAGCGGCATGCCTCCACAACAGTCTCAAAAAAGTCTCAGGCAAATCCGATACCTGTATCTATGTCGTCGTAAGGTGAATCAGCACCAGGATTATCACTGTCTACCTCATTCTCTAAATCCACTCCGCCCTGCCGAGCTATCGAGAGGAACACAGGCTCTTCACATTAAAAATACACTCTGCCAGATTTATTAATTCATTTATTAACATCAAATACGAACACAGCTGAATTTTGTGTGTGTGTGTGTAATTTGCACGTAAAATTGAACAAATTATGGCTCTGAAGGTTTCATTCTGCTCGCAGACGCCAGACATAATCTCATTTTTGTGTGCAGATTCTCTGAAGGAAGACTCAAAATTCCAGGGTAAAATCACAGTGCAATCAACTGGATCTGCAGGGTCATCAAAGGCTAGACTGAATGACAGCAGGTGCAAGCAAATGATGGCAACTACTGTACAAAACAAAGACAAAAGAAAGGGGAGAAACTAGAAATTTCATAAGGGCTTTCGCCATCGAGTTCAGCATCAAAAAAATTCAAGATTTCAACGTGGCTAACACAGCACGTAGTCGGAACCTGACAATGAAAAGATGAAGAAAGAAATGTCAACAGAAAGCTGATGTAATGTAACCGAAGTAGGCTTGAACTGTCCTGAGCAATGATTCAAATTAAAGCAAAATGAACACGAGGAATGAATCATAACTTTTCTCTGAAACAAAACACCTCTCCATTTTAAATTTTATGTTAGCAGAGTAAACGTGTACAGTGTCCTGCTTCATGTTATTTCTATCCCTTTCACTCTGAAATCTTTCACTTGATGTAAAACCTTTTCCAAGGCTCTAAAACTCTCAAACAAAATGAGGGAAAAGATGGCATGAGCCCTAGGGGAAAGACAATCAAATCTTCCTGATGCAGCAGGCAAAGAAAAGAGCCTCCAGTGTTCCGGAGACCTTGGGCATAATGCCTGGGACTGCAGGCTACAAAGTACTTCAGTTCATTTGGTTTTTCTTGTTCTTGTCCTTAATCCAGCCAAATTCATGTCGGGTCGAAGTGCACGTTTCTCAAGCAAGGGAATTTGGCATTATGAAGAATGGCTTCCTAAGAAGGCAATCCAATGGAAAAGGAGGTAGCCTGGCATTACAAAATAGGTAGAATGTCAGTGTTATTGAAACCTGAGATTTGGTGATGTGGACAGGCACACCTTCTCATGAAAAATGACAGTACATGTAGGTTCATTGTTAAGCTTGAGATATTGGCATGACTCTGAAAATAGATCTAAAACAAACCTCAAAATAAGCAACATAAAACAATATGTAAAAAAAAAGACTGCATTTTGTCAAATTGGAATGGAATGTGAGATTAAAAAAAACCTAGATAATAGAAGCATTTAAAAAAATTAGCCTCAAATTCATACTTTTGAATGATGAGTTGGTCAAACAAAGCCTAGAAACATTTTATTCAGTTATGGTACCAGGTCACAAGGTTGAATCTACCCCAAAAAAGGAGGAAAAAATAGAAAAAAATAATGCAAGTTGTTTTGGGGGGGCTATTTGACTTCCTTTCAAAGCCCCCTGATGTAGCCTTAATCCTTAAAAAGGCCATAAACAGTTACTTTGCAAAGTTTCAATATTGTTGCCCCCCCAGTAACTTCTGGTTCGGAATCCCCTGCCAAGGCACAAAACTCTCTCCTTCGGTACTGTAATCTAGCTCACTTAAAGAGTGATTGCAGAATGCTGTGAAGCAATGTAAGTGCAAGTAGTTTGCTGTAACAATACAAACAGCTGAGAAAGACATCAGATCCCCGATGCTGTTTTTGCACCCAAACAACCACCACAGTAAACATTCAGATTAAAATCTGTCATGAATATTCTGAACCACCAGCGTGTGAAACATACACGTGGAGTGCATCAACCCACAGGATATTGGTACTAGGTAAGATGTCCACACGAGGACTGTTTCAGCTACTCGAAGTGGGAACAAATCAGGTCCTTGAGGAAGCAGACAACGGCATAATGACATCGTCCAAGCTTGATAAACTGAGATTGATCCTTAATTGCAGTGTGGGATAGTGATAGACCTGTTGCCATGGAAACAGTAAGAAACTTGCCCCAGACAGAGCATATTTGCAGAAATTTTAATAATATTTTGCAGCAATGAAAAGTATGTCACAATGGTAAAAATATAGCACTGCATTATACTCATGATGAGAGTACATGTACGTGCAGAAATTAGAATAAAAATGTTTACCCCAAAATGGAGACAAGAGTACACTGCAGATGCCATAAATATCAGAGGCTGTTAATTATACAGAAATTGAAGCAAAATACTAAAATGTGAAACTTGGAAAAAAATGCAGGACAATCCCTGACAGGATTTTGCCTTTTTACTTGAACTTGAAGTTTCTGATGAATTTCTGCACCTCAAGACGCTTTCAACAAATCCTGCCAAAAGCATCTCTTTAGGAGTCGGTCATATTTTATTCTGTGAAATGTGCCAACCGAGTCTCCTGGAGAAAAACATCAAGTTCCCCCATCTCCTGTCAGAAGGGATCCTACATAAAATTCACATATATGGGTTTTGTGTCATGCCCAAGACATGTTACAGCAAGCTTCTTCCCAAGGGGAAATATATTAAACTGTTCCTTTTTATTCTGTCTCATATTCATGTAAATTATGCAGTCTTCTGCCATCAAATTTCTTGTGAATACTGAAAAGACACCCAAACATAAGCAGTGAGTCAGAATGTTGCTCAGTCTTTATAGCAGCTTCGTTGGCTGGTGAATGTTTTTCTAAATCCCTCAAAATTCCACAAATCCAGAAAACTGCATATGATGAATATGTTGCAGTGAATTTTTACTGTTACTAAAATCCTCGGAAAACTCAAGAGAAGAAATTAGAGCAGAAATTAGCGGATGAAAAAAATCTTAAGTAATACATAATCCTTTCCATTCTTCTGCCAAGTGAGGACCTACGGAAACAGTTCATATTGGTGATCAGACAGTAGTACACATTGACAGGTACATGTATATGTCTAGAGTATAATATAATATATGGCGTCAGTTTCCTCAACAATTCTTCCTATGTTTATCAAGGATATTAAAGTGAATCCCAACACTTTTTGTCTACAATGTCATGTCTACATGTACAAGGACAGTTTACAGACAAGCATGGCACAAAAAAGTGTCTAAATTCCAATAAAAGGAAAAATGTTATCCTTGTTTATGTTGATAAAGCAGGAGTAACATTTCTTCTGCCACAAGACAAGAGACTCTGTTCAATGAAACATTTCTGCCCAACTTAAAGATAATTTGAATTTTTCTAACATGACACTGTCATCTCTCAGAGAGAGAACCTGCCACCAAGACTTTTAATCTCATATAAATGCTATTTGGTTGAGGATGTCACATTGTTTCATTTACTCTGCAATGTTTGTACTTCTCTACACTGTTCTCGCCTGCAACAAGTCAAGTTCTCTGAAGACGTCCCACAAATAGAATGTTCACACAAGTCACAAGATTGAAAAGGCCATCTGGCTCTACAAACTTAGCCAGGCGGTAACCCTATGAAACCAAAGTGCGACTTTCCTACGAACCTGACGTGTGGTTTACAGAGAGACTTACCCAGACAAGGCCGATTCCGCGTGCGAGCCTTTAGAGTTTCATCACCGGGTGTGGTGCCAACGTGATTCTTGAGGAGGGCCTTCAGCTTCGCATCCTCCTCCTTGTCTTGGCTCAGGGTCAGATTCTGTGCAAAGTCACGACAGACAAGATTGAATGACCTTTAAATCCCTACCTCCATAGATCAGAGACAGACTGTAAACTCAAGAAGTCCAATGGCAGCATTCAGATTCTTCCATCATGCCAGTTACAAATTCAAAGCGTGGTCTGGACTCAAAGTTTTGTTCATCAACATTTAACTTTTTCGTTCAGTTTTATGTTACAAACCTTCTGAATCCTACAGAATCCTTCAAAAGCCTACACTGGCCAGGAAATCAATGGGAATCAAGCCTCATGTATAAAAAAATAGTGACTGGGCACTAACTTGCTTCAAAATCCTCCCCCAAACCCCTCAATAGATTGTGACGAAGGGAGGTTTCGTAACAAAATTAAATAAGAAGAACATACAAAACCATCCCAACCATACATCTCTTAGAATAAAAAGATTTGCGTCCTCAATCCACAAATATAAAGGAGCTGCAAAGAATGCTCCTGCCATTTCTAAGAAGTTTCACCACCAGAAATTAATTAATTACAGGTAGACAATGCAGACACACTTATAGATTCAAGCTAATACAAAACTGCATGGAAAGCGTGTTCCATGCAGGTGAGTTTGAAAAAAGGGCCCTATTAGATTGTACATTACACCGTATCATGTGAAATTTACAACTCTAGAAACAGCATGACAAAGTGCTTCGGAAATATGAGATACCAACGTCAACAGATAAAACCAAAAAATGGAGGGAAAATGACCTTTTTTTTTACCTCAGTGATTCTTAGTGATTATTATTCAGAATTGTGACCAGATCCCACAAAATAGGTCTTAAAGCTGTGTTTTCAATAACTTTGTTTTGGCAAAAAGGGCACAGTGAGCTCTTTGTTTGGATGCATCACTAAGTCTGGAATCCTGTGGAATCCTGATGACATTACGTGGACGCAAAATGTTCAGGGTTCCAACTGGTTTATATTGTGCAGCATTCTTATGAAGGCTTCTGTGTTCAGTGTCGGTGAGTTTGAAGAAAGGCCCCATCCGATTGAAACCGGCTTCAACATTAATTTTTGTAACTACTTGTCCAATGGGCAAGTAACACTGAAAATATGCTTGCCAGAGGCAATATTTTACAAGCCAAAACCCTAGTTTAGTTGCTCATTGCTGCGCGGGGAAAGTAAGTTCCTTCCTCCAACCAATAACCACTGATGAAATTGCTATGCCACAATATGACATGCATATACATCACCCCAACGTGCACAGGAGTCTGATGCATCACTCATACAAGTTCGGGCAACAGCTATTTCTTAACCACTCGGTGATTTTGCCTGGTGTCAGACATGGAAAAGTACACAAAGTACCACGAAAATTTCACTCACATTGAAGTCACAACCACATGTAAAACAGTCTTCAAGCTTCAGGTCATCAAAGCTCCACTGCAATAACCAATGAGGTTTGGTACCAGACACAAGGACATTTTCCAGTTTATTTGTGTACGCATTTTCCCTTGTGTGGAAAGGTGCCTCGCTGAGTGTACATTGTGCTTAGTACACGCAAGTTTGTACATGTACGTAATGATGCAAAAAATCATTGCACCGGTGCACCAGATAGCTGTTTACCTTTTATCACTTTTTATAAACTTTTGTGAAGAGGAAAACAACAAATTGAAGGTAAATTTGCTGACTGGTCTTCTTGGCCACGACAAACTGACACTTTTATTTCAAGAAAAACGTACCTGTCCATCGGCCAATTTTGTCCTTACTTTTTATTGCCTGAAAGAAAAGATTACTTGTCCCAGGCAATCGGACAACCGTTAATGTTGAGGGCCTGGATTGAAAACTGCATGATGAGAAACAGGTAACTCAAGACACAGCACGACAAAGCGCTGTGGAAATATCAGATACCGACTTCCACAGAAAAAAAAAAGACAGCAACTGTGATCCTACCTCGGTGATCATCTTCCCCCGCGTCATGGCCCGCTTGCGGTGGTTGGCCTTCTTACGCTCCTGTTCCAGCACCCGCTCCCGTGTGGTCCGATACTCCAAGGCAAACTCGCTGATAATCTTGCAGAACTCGGTGATCTTCAGCTCCCGGGCGGCCGAGGCAGTCATGCCCAGGTAGAGAAGTAGCTCATTAAATCTGCAAGGGGGGTAAAACGACTGTGAGGCGAGATTTGCAGCTGCAGAGCCAAGTCTTTGGGGTATAAAAGAGGGCACCAGCATTCCCCTCCCCCCAGTCTGGAAATTTGACTTGTGTCTCCCCCCACTTAACATCCAGCTCCCCCCCGTAACCCCCCTACACTAAGAATCCCAGCTATGCTGCTGAAGATTTAAACCTCAGACTTCTGGCATTACACACAGCGGCTCTACCATAACTGGTATTACAGGGTTCGAGCAAGTCTTCATTTTTTTCAGAGACACTTTTGGTGCAACTTTATAATCCTCCTTTGTGGCATCCCTGCAGGGTTAAATGTATTGAAGAGTGCACTTTTAAATGTTAAAAGCACGTCCAAACATTTACAGACAACTGAAAGGCACTGTTGCTGTGATGTTAATCAGGGAAGAAACTGATCATTTGATAGGTTTTTCGCCATAGCCATAGCTCTGGAAGCCCTAAGTTTCCATTTAGAGGCTGTGGATTGTCACTGAAAAAAACAATGATCAAATGGAAAAAGTTCAATACAATCTGAACGATTCACAATAGTGCACCGCCAAGAGTTTGCCAACACGTTGGCTAATCATAACACGCAAAATTTGTTGAACCTTTCCAAACGCGCATTGGGTCAACAAATTTCGCACATTGTGATTGGCCAACATGTTGCAAACTCTTGGTGGCGCACTATTATGAAATGGCCGTATTGTGACTTACCTGTTGAGGACTCTTCTATGGACAATTTTTAGGACTATGATTCTCTGAGAACAGTCTATTAGAAAATCTTGTAACCTGAAATAAAAACAACATATTGCTTTATGAGGACTGACGAAAAGGGCATTCTGTCAAATTTGCCAAACAATATCGAGGTTGCACATTTCTAAGACAAAATACACTTACAGAAATCTATCAGATCAAATAAAAAACCTCTTGATGTGAACATGCAAAGAAATGAGAGGTACTGCAACAAACATTTCTCCGAGTCGATCTGAGCAGAAGGAAGCAGCCAACTGCGCAAACCAACACACTTTGACTGAAGTCACATTTCGTCCATTTTCTTCTTATAAACAGTGTTTCCAACGTGGCCCTTCTAAATCTTTCCTCATCTTACTTGTTTTTTAAGGATGAATGGCTGTCGTGCTTGTTGATGGTGCGTAGATGCTCCCATGATGCTTTGCACTGCTCGTCCATCTTCTGAAGGTTGGTGTCCAGCACCTCAAAGTCAACCTGAGAGAATGAAAGGGACATGGCAACAGAAACTGTTGGAATACAATCATGGAAATGTATCTACCTTTATTTCAGTGTCGCAGTTAAGTACTTCACAACTGCTTTGTAAGAAATTGGGGCTGTGCCAATTATTCGAATATTCAGTTAGTGAATAGATTACCAAATTGAATTTTTAAAATATGAATATTCAGAGGGAAAAATCAATGGATTATAAAAGGGAATATTCAACTATTCAATAGAAATAACATATTCCTTTCATTTCAGTCAATGTTAACACTTAAAGTCCTTGTAAGGTACTTGACTATTACAATGCTTTATTTTCAATCTTCATATTGCCATTTGGTTATAATGCCATGAATATTTGCATATTCATAAGAGAAACTGAGATATTATTCGAAAGGCAGTAATATCAGCCTCAACATAAAAACCGCTTGAGTACCACACAATCCACGAGCAAACTTGATGCAGACATGCTTCTACTGAGGCCCATTTGTGGTTCAAAATGTGTACAGAAAATCTTTCAACAACGGAACTGTTGAATACGTTACAACTGAGTAACAATACGTGACCCGCTCTGTAAAAATGACTGATCAAGTCAACCGATTCAAATTTGAATTAAAAAACTTAAAAATAATCTGACAATATGCAAATCAAGGGGATCTTTCATTATTTTTAACCCACACAGTGCCCATTTGCATCGCAAATGTCCAAAAAAAGTAGTATGTCAAAGTAACCAGCTTGACTTGCTCCTTCTAAATGCACACACAGAAAAGAATTCCAGGAAAAAATGGCCTTTTGGCTCATTTTTGCAAAGCAGCTCACGTATTACATGTAGGCACAATGCACAGGCTGATTCCATCTTTGTAAAAATGTGAAATGCAGGCCGTGCTTGGAGTGAGAGTCCCTCTGATCGGGCAGGTCTTTATCATTACCTTTGCACATCTGCTGATGGAGGCCAGCTCCGAGAAGAGATCGGTGCTGTCAGGGAACTGCTCGATGACCATACTGCACAAGTGGTAGAGCAGGGACTGCTTGTGGACTGTGTCCTTGATGTCGGGTACCTTGGCAAGGTAGTCTATGTGGAAACCTTGTATCTGTGTGGTCAAGCAGGTGGAAAACATAACAACGTTAAACCTGAGACATTTGATTGACTTAATAAGGCGGTCCACTATAATTGTAAAACTTCCAGGTGTGATTGCTCTTCAAAACTGTGACCGATTCCCACAACATGAGTCCACATTTTTAGTCATTTTGTTTAAGTTTGATTTAAGAAAAGAGCAGCTGCCCCCTTTGATTTGACACATCCCTCAAACTGGCTTCCTGATGAAAATGGCACATTACGTGGATGAAAAATGTTAAGGGTTTCTGTTAATGTATGTTCTCAAGATTCTTGTAAAAGGCCTAAACTCTAAAAGTGGTTCTGGTGACTTGTGGGTCACAATTGTATTAAAAAATTTTTTTTAATGGCTGAGGTTTCAATAAATACCATTAGAAGCCTACTGTCACAATGGGACCAATACTGTTGAAATGCATTCTTTGACAACAGATGGCTGGGCCACAAATGACTATGTGTTTGCTGATAGGACTGTAATCTCCTTATCCCCTATTCAAGCTGTAGTCCAACCCAACAAAACAAGTCACAAGTCATCAAGGCCACTTTGAAGTTAAAACCCGTTAAGAGAACCTTGCCCAGTGTATAGATAATAAGATCCAACAATGTCTATCACTTCAATGTCTGATTTTCATCGCAATGTCAAACAGAGGGAAACATCCAAATGAACAGCTCTGGTTGGTCTTTTTATGAACACTCAACCAAAATTAGTAATAAAAACCAAAGCTTAAGGCCTCATTTTGTGGGATCAAGTCACATTTTGAATGTCATTGTGCACTGAACTGAAGTTGGCCAGAATCAAAATCAAACTTTTTTCATGAACTTTCTCCGACACTGTCAGTCGTGGTCGCTTTTAGTTGTGTTGATCTATCTGTAGTTTATCTTGTGGTGTTGTTCCTACCTCAGCACCATTCAGGAAGTTCCCTACGGCAAGCAGCATCGACAAGATGTGGCGGAATGTTTTGTTGTTCTTGAGGTCTTCAATGCCCTTCTTGAGCTCGGCCAGTGGCTCAGCAACTTCCTGCACACAAGTGGATTCGAAATGGGCATTCCGTCAGCTTGTGGAGGGTGTCTAAAGCCGCATAGCTTTCCACCCCCATGGGCGGATACAGGTAACCACCCCCCTCCCAGCAAAAAGGAGTGAACAAACTGGGGTGGTTTTTTTTGCCAGAAAAGCAACATTTATTTCCGTCCTTCCAAAAGCAGGAAATTAAATTCTCTTGCATCCCCCCAAAAATAAATTGGTTCTGTACCTCCCCCATGCCTTACAATGTTGGGCATTACCTCTTCCATAGACTCATAGTCCATCTTGAAGAGCCAGAGGTTGAGCCGGGCCTTCAGTACGGTGATGTTGGACAGCATGTGTAGGAACTGCTCAGCGGAGCCCAGAGGGATGTCTGGGTTCAACAAGGTGGACTCCTTGATCAAGTTGCACTCCTCCTCCGTCGGCACCATGGTCAAAAGTTTCTGCCGAGGAAAAACGAGAAAGCAGAGGTAATGCAGAGAAGACACGAGATCTTCTGTTCTAATTTTATGGAACACTTGCAGATATTTCACTGGTTCGCCTGATTCAAGTTGGGAAGTCTTAGGGACAATTTTCCTGTGAACCACTGTACAACACTTTTGTGGAATACTTGAAAACGTGTCCTCAAGATAAACCGTTGAATAATTCTTGAAAAACCTGGATACCGTCAGCCTGGATAAGATTTTGCGAAATTATTAGATAAGATAGGGTAGCAGAGAATATGGAATAGGGCTTCATAATTCCACTAGTCTGGCACATGGTTGTGAATTCAGAATTTCAGGAATCAAAATTAACAAAGAGATATTTTAAGAAACCTTTTGGAAAGTCCGTAAATATCTACAGAGAAAACAACAAATCAGGAAAAAGAGAGGTATAGGAGCTGAAATTTTGAACAATTTGAAAGACCGTACTTAATTCTGACTATCTCTCTGGTGCTCTATTTTGGGTAATAATATCCACATGCGAGACCTCTAGTCAGGGAAGTTCCACCTTGCAACATTCCAATTACAGTTCTGAAAACACATAGAACATACTGCAAGTACCTAACATAGCATGAAGAGCCAACAAATAAAAACAACAACCACCAAAAAACCCCAAACAAACAAAACAGAAAAAAGCCAAACACAAAACAAAACAAAAACATCTTTTTGCAGGCTATAACAACAACGTGTTAGCAAACATTAATGCCCCTCCAAGCCAATGCTGAAGCCCGAGACTTTCATTTGCCATTTTTCAAATACAATCTCGATTGGGAAAACAATTTCCATTGTCGCAATGACCTTGATCTTTGACTAATGAGGTTGAAATTCAACAGGACACCAAGACAAACCCCTGTAACCCATTTTAGGTGATATGCCCAGTTCTTCTCAAAATATGGAAAAAACTATTTCTTTAAGATTAGCCATAAAGACCTTGGCCTTTGACCTATGGGTCCAACACAAGACAGAACAAGACTGGGGGCCCTACCTCAATTCCTTCCTTATTGACTGCCGTGCCATCCATCTTCAGGATGGCCTGCTTGATGGTGTTTGGATGGGGCAGGGCGGTCAGTGCGATGTTGATGTGATTGGACCGCTTGGCGTCCAACACTAATATCACATGCTTCTTCCCTGCCTCAAGGATTTTCTGGAAATTAATTTTTTATTTTAAACAGAATCGAAGAGGAAAATGAAATGAATAACAGACAACAGCATTAAGAGTGCATGAAATAATTTTGGACTAGTATATAAAAACCATGTCATTTTAATTTGACAAGGATGTTTTCAAACAATGCTTTTACAGTATTTTTAAGGAAACTGCGGTACAAACAATACACAGACTTTGTGAGGTTGGGCTTTGCACCTGCAACCAACCAGCAGTTATGTCATTTCAATTAATCCACCCAGCAACTGACCACACACATTTGCGGTGGAACTCCTTAGGGGGGAAGCCTCACTTGAAAACAATAAAATGACACAGTGGTAATTTACAAAAAAACATTTCAGATCAAAGAAGCTTGGTCAATGATATATATAATAGTATGTTTTCAACAGTTGTATTTTATCCTTACCAATCACTGTGATGCTTTGCATTTGGTTGGTTCCCGAAGCATGCAAACTTCTTTTACTGATGACAATTTGTGCAATTTCTTAACATGTGTAACCAAATTGCATACACTGAGTATCTACAACTTTTTAATCCTTCAATTTTAACGATACAAATCCTCATTACCCAATATGACCTGCTCATGAATGTAAATCTTAGATTACAAAGTTGACAGTTTCAGCAGACTTCTGTCTTGAAATTTTGATTCAGTGCCACCAACTTTCAATCAAGTGGTACAGTTCAGTCACATACACAAACAACTTTGCAACGAGTTTCTTTTCTAAGGTTCGTTAAAACAAGGTTTTCCAAATCAATATTAAAAGCTCTAGGATGCGATCTTTTGGGGAGGATAGACCGAAAATGGTCCAGGGATGGGTTCAGCTCTCTACTAACCTGGTCCTGAGTTGATGAGATCACCAAGATGCAGGAATGAGGAGTAGGAAGGCAGGAGGCAAGGCAGGTGGAGGATTTCAAGGATAGGGAGGTAGAGTAAAAAAAAGCGAGAAGATTGATTGGTTAGATCACATAGCAACAAGCATCATGCTCCGCCTGGTCATGCTCCACCCGGCAACAGCCTTAAAAAGTACATATACAGTGTATGGGAACTAGCTTCAATGCGATGGATGCTCCATCCCTGTGCAAATGATTTACAGAAAAAAGGATTAATTTTTCATGTTAATTCAAACAGTGGCAAAGTCAACACTTTTTTTTCTTTTGTTTTTGGACACTTGCATAAAGAAATTACCTATTTTTGCCCTGCACATCCTAGAGCAAGGGTCATGAACTAATGCTGCTCTGAGTGTCGACGTAACCCGCACTCGTACCCCATCAATTTTCTAAAGTCAGTATACAGCACCGCATTCCTTACAAAGATGGTTTCAATACCAACCATTCTGACTCCTAACAAATTCGAACACTTTTTGGCTGGTATTTTGATCAGTCTGGAAATGTAATAACAGTTAAGCTACTGTTATTTTGCATGACACTGGAATACCAGCAAGGTAGTCCAAATTCCGGCCGTTATTTAGCATTGACTACCTGCATACATATACATGTATGTTTAGGATGAAGCGGCCCATTTCCAGACACCGAAAACATAATGTCCACAATTGCTGATGGATGCCCTGATACTACATATATGTGTGCGCATATCATGCATAAGTAATAATGCTAGGTAGTGCTTTTTTACACATGCATGTGATACGGATAGCGGTATGCGAGTCTAAACCAACCATCCCTGATAGAGCAGCACGTGGGCGGAATGAGTGACTCCAAGATTTTCGGCAAAGTTGAACAAAGTCAGGATTCTGCGTGTAAAAACCCTCTAATGTACATGTACATGTATGTACAATGCCACTGCACGCTAGGCTGGATGTGCAAAATGAAAACAGTCCAGGCAATGGACTACGAGTCAAGCTTTAAAGTGATGGATTGTGGGAGTTCTTCCTGAGCTTCCCTGA